AAAAAAAATGTTGGTATATTTTTAATGGATATCATTCTTTAGTTTTAGCATAGATGAGATTCGAAAACTAAAACGGCGGCAACGACCCTAACAGTACTTGATATGTATAAAATTATTGACTAATCAAAGCAAATCGAATGCAGAAGAAACTTTGGTGCGATCTCTATCACAGTTTCCAAATATTATTATGTAATTTTTACTCTTTACCTCTCATTATTCTCTCATTATTACGTTTCAACTGTTCCCTGGAACTTTATTTACCTCTTTTTGAATGTAACTTTGGTAATATACTGTCATTGTTATTGATACGTTGCTGTTTATATTTGTTTAAATAAAGTTTTTGGAAAGGAAAAAAAGGCTGCAGCCCATGCTTCTTAGCCTACACACTAGCCCCTTTAGGATTGCTAGTTGTGTCAAGTTAATCGGGGTTAAGCAGAGAGTTTCCGGAAATGGTTGCTTGTCTTTTAAAATAAAGCGCGAAGTTTCCTTTTGGACACAAATTAGGGCACCTCTTACTATTTTTGTAAGAGGACGGTTTCTTGCAATTAGTACAACGGAGTTACATACGAGTCGTAAATAGTCGGAACTGTTCTCAATCGAACTACTACAGAGTTCAGTACTTTTATTTTTGCGGAGCCAAACCGGAAAGGCTTTGCATATTTAAATTGCAATTACGCTGACTTAACGTCGCTGGGCTGTTGGCTAACAACAATGAGGAGTGCTAGCAGTTTAAAGCGTCCTATTACCGTTTACTCGGCTTCTCTAAGGTACAGTACATAAACACGTGTAGCACTTTTAGTAGCATGTTAAAGTATTTGTGATAACTGGTGTGCAGTCTATTAAGTCGACGTGATAATTTCCTTCGAGCGTAGAACAAAGTGAGCATTGCTAATGCTAACGTTAGTGAGCATATCCACTTGCCTTCGTGTCAGCAAACTTACACGTCGGATGTTTTGGAGGTGCGCTTAACGTTAACATTTAAAAAATGCACGTTTGTGTAACTGAATAGGCACGCTGTTTTTTTTTTTTCTTTTTTCAAATATGCGTAAATATTAAAATAAGTCAACGTGTACTTTGTGTCTTTTCCAAAATCCTTTATTAGCCTTGAACTGAAAACATTGTGTTGCATTAAAGTCACTACAGTAAAGAATAAACAAGATAGAAAAACTGTCCAGTGACACTCTAGAGCACTTCGATACATCTGTGTTCGTTAATCCTTTAAATTTTAGCTGTTTGCCATTATTCCAAAGCTTATATATGACATGTAATAGTCTTTTACTTTTTTTGTTCTGTCCAACAGGGTAATCCGTGTGCTCTTTTGTTTTTTGTAGATTTGTGTTAGAGAATTGTAAGGTCATGTTTGTATGCATGGAGCATCCTGACCTTTTCCTTGTTTACTGCCAACTGAAATCTGTGTAATTTATCGTCGAAATGTAGGGCTTTTTTTTTTTTTACTTAAAAACTCTGAATGGAGCCACAGAGGATATTGGAGCCTTATAAAGAAGGCTACACAGCCCATTACTATAAGTCAGCCTATCAACGTTACTAATAGGTGGAGGAAACAAAATTATTTTCCCACATGCGGCTACTCTGCTGCAGCCTAGTTATGCTTATCTGGAACTGTTAGTATTTTCATTATGATAATGCCATTTGTATATAATTTTTGTAAGTGTTATTTTTTTTAATCTATTTATTTTATTACCAACAAAAAATTTTGAAATGCAAAAGTAGCCTATTTTGACAATAAATAAAACGTATAACAACACAATAGCTTTAAAAGTAGTAAAACAAACAAAAAACGACCAGTCTAAGTTTCATTTTGTGGGCTTTTTTTGTTTGTTTTTCTGTTTGTTTTTTGGATTCGTAGTCCATTTCTTCAGGGATTGCTAATTGTTTTGTCAAAGCCACCTGGAGCCACAAGAGCGGGATCAAAGAGACTCATGTGGCTCCAGAGTCGCACTGATTTAGGTCAGCATTGCATGAAATAACTCAGTTGTGTCGTTAAAAACATTTTTATATGAATTTTATGTAAGTGCTGAAATATTACAAATAATGTTTTGTCATACTGGCCCTACTAGCTTTCCATTTATCATTAATATTTTGGATTATACAACTATAAATTATATTAAATTGCCTTAAAAAGGGATCCAATGTAATAAATTTGCCTTTATGAACCCGGCAGAAGCCCTGTAAATGTGCAGTGGGAAGCAATGTTACTGCCCAACTGGAATCAGGAAATTTACACTTGCAATGAATGCATAACATATTGCTGAGTCAGTGAACCTTTTATTAGAGCTGTTAGCATTAGGTTTTTTTTTTGTATATTGACCTACCTTGTGTTTAAAAGAAAGCTGTGTCATTAACCATTATATCCTTTTGCTTTTTTTTAGGTTCTGAACTGTTCATCATTGCAACTTAATGCAGAAAACTCTCATTTTATTGCTTCAAAAGACTATCTGCGTAGTCCTAAATCCCAGTGGAAAACTTGTTAGATGTCAGAAATACTTCAGGTTGTGTAGGGCCTTTTCTGTCTATTCATGTGCTGAGCGTCTACCTTTGTCTTTTCATGAGTTACATTTTACAAGGAAAATCTCTGCATTATCCTCGGTATCCCAAAAGCACAGTCTTCTCCCAAACTATCCTCCCTGGCTTTTCCTGCATCAAAGTTTCTCCAATCAGCCGGATATGGCAGATCAGAGGTTTCTCGTTGAATATGCCAAACGTGGCACAGCAGGATGTAAGAAATGCAAGGACAAAATCCAGAAGGGAATAGTGCGCATAGGCAAAGTTGTGCCAAACCCTTTCAGTGAGTCTGCAGGGGAGATGAAAGAGTGGTACCATGTGAAGTGTATATTCGAAAAGCTGGAAAGAGCCAGAGCCACCACGAAGAAGATCGAGGATATCACCGACCTGGAGGGCTGGGAGGAATTACAGGATGCTGACAAGGAGATCATAAATAAACACGTTTCAGGTACAAAAGCCACTCAAAATGTAAATTTCATATTTTTAAAATGCTTATTATGCAGAAAAATAGTTTTGTATTGTATATTTAAACCCTTCTACTGCTCACAGGCAATATTTAAGCCTTGGCCAAAGGAAAATTTTACCCATTATTGGAATCAGATCAAGCTCATGTGTTCATAAAGTCAACAGTCAGTGAATCTCAGCTGCAGTGCACTTTTGATGTGACCTGATCTATTCTTGAAATTTCAATTCACAATCCCGCAAATCAGTTGAAGTGCAGCAGCTGACTGATATACTAGTAGTATTGTGAATACATGTGGGATACTGACATGAAACCAGTGGTGTGGCTCACAACTTCTCGCCCAGTGTCAACTTACTTGTTGTACCCGTACAAATAATTAGATGGCCGTTCAGTGAAGGCATGGCAACATGTTTACTTAATGTTTATCAAGTGAAAGCTGCAATAATGTGTCAAAAATATTTGTCAGTAATTGACTCGCCCATTTATTATATATTTATTTATAGTTAAACTGTCATTAGGGAAAATGAGATTTAATTTGGATTTATGCATCTATATTAAATCTATGCAGGAGCAAACCCCTTTGAAACTCTACGATGTAACCTGATGTATGCCTTCCTGGAAATGTAACTGAACATTATTGTAATTGTGAATTGTTTTGATTTTTTTGTAATTGACTGGAAGACAGTGGATCAACTTGAAGCCAGAAACTCAACAGCTAGCATTTTGGTTGCAGTGCAAAAGAGACACAAGTATAAATGCTGTAAGCAGCGTTGGGTACTTGCGTAGGTTGTGTATAGATTTAGGGCATACATGCAACTTGTGCTTTCTTTGCTTCTCTTGAGGAAAATGATTAATTTCCTGGTTTCCTTGTGTAGGCTGTTAAATGCAGGTTACAGGATAATGAACAAACAGCCATAAAGACTGTAGGCATGCCCTGGCTTATGTATTCATATAGCATTATACAGCAAACTCTTTGATATGTAGTCTTGTGACAGCTAGGTCCCATACACATCACTTATGTGTGATCTCACTAGTATATTGTCAACATTAAATAAGTTAGGGCATCTCAGGTCTTCTTTCTTCTAAATCCACTCGCCTTGTCTTGCAGACTTGATGGCCAAAGTTAATGCAAGTCCAAAAAAGAAGGTGCAGGCCAAGTTGAACACCACCAGTCAGCTGATGGCTCCCCCTGCTGACCCATCTGTCAATGCGCCAAGGAAGTTTTCAGGCTTCACTGGTGAGTTATGTCGAAATTCAAGTCACTCAGGAAAAAAAAAACAGTCCTTATTAATTATTAATTTACACGCGTTAACATGCAAAGAATTCACAAGATAGTCACTAGCAGTTGTGTAAACCAAATACACACATCACTTACATGCTTCTGGGTCTTTTGTATGCATAGAATGAATGTTGTCAACCTGCCAGGGACTGCAGGTGGAAATGAGCCTGTGAGGCTAAATCTGGCAGTTTTCCATAATGGACCTAAATGCATACGTTAATTAAATTAAAACGAAAACACTTTAGAAAAGTAAACAAACTTATGTGGGATCTTTAAAGCGGTTTTCTGTTAGTAGTTTCCCTTTGCAGCTTATAGCTCAATTACAGGTATCCACAAGTCAGCAAACTGAAGCAATAAACAGGTGGAAGCAAAACTGCTTTCATATTCCCAGTGGTGATGTAAGCCACCAGTAATAAACTGGATTGAATAGGCAGGGAAACTCGTGCACTACAGTCTGAGGGCCACGGCCAGAATAGGAATAAAAATAATATGAATGTGGCGTGCTCTGAAAACAATGGTTTCAGCCAGTATCAGTGTTGTAGAGAATTCGGGCTTAAGTACAAAGGCTGACATTTTTCAGAATCCACTCCGGCCCCTTCATAGTGATCAATAAATCATGGTCTCTGCACTGTTCCCCTTCACTCTCCTCACAGCAACAAAGGCTGGCAGTTCTAGCAGCAGCCCTGGGGCGTCCTCTTCCCCTGCCAAAGCCAGCCAAGGCAGCGCGCTGTCCACCCAGCTCTGTGACCCCCAGCACAAAGACTGCCTCTTCAGAGAGTTTCGCAAGCTCTGTGCCATGGTGGCCGAAAACAACAGCTACAATACAAAGACGCAGATTATTGAAAAGTTCCTCAGGAAGGGCACAAGTGGAGGTAGCTGTCTCTCTCTTATTTTTTTCTACCTTTTTCTGTATATAGACAAAATCCAGCACGTCATCTTTACATTTCTGTGAACTTTCTCCTTTGTCTTCCACCCTAGATAAGTTCCACGGCGATCTTTACCTGACTGTGAAATTGCTCCTGCCGGGTGTTGTGAAAAGCGTCTACAACCTCAATGACAAGCAGATTGTAAAACTCTTCAGCCGCATATTCAGGAGCAACCAGGATGACATGGTGCGCGATCTGGAGCAGGTCTGTCGTCCATAAATCGTCACTCTTACAGTATTTCGGTGTTCGAAGTGGACAGACCCTTAACACGAACGCAGAATTACAGGCTCTTGACATCGTGTCTGTTTTTGTTTCGTTTTTCCTTTTAAGGGTGACGTGTCTGAGACGGTGAGGATGTTCTTTGATGAGAGTAAATCATTTCCCCCAGCTGCCAAAAGTCTCCTTACCATCCAGGAAGTGGACGCATCCCTGACCCGACTTTCCCAGCTGACGAAGGAGGATGAGCAGCAGAACGAGCTGGAGGATATTGCCAAAAAGTAATAAAACACATAATAATTTTTTATATCAGTCAGGCTGAGTGTTAAAATGTTAAAAGATATGGTAATTCTTACAAATAACCCCAATAAGGCTGACCTTGGTGTTTGTAGCTGCACCTCTCCACGTGACGTCTTTGCTTTACTGCCTGTGAAAGTTCCGATAGCTCCGTAGAAGCAGGAAGACGTACTTAGAGGTTCCATTTTCCAGTATTTATGGTACAATTATTTCCTTCCACTTATTATTTTTTTTCTTATGGCTTTTTCTATTGCCTGCATTTGTGTACTTTTCCCTCCTTTCTCGATTGCCTGCCTCGGGCATGTCTAACACAAACGCGTACATTATCCCAACATCTTTATTTGACATTCTCCCCTCCGCTGCAGCAGACACCAGGCTATGTTTGTTTGTCATAAATTGCATCTTGCAAGCTGTAAACAGACATGGACATTATTTTTTTGCTGTACCAACTAAAGGGTTTGCTAGCATACTATAACATTAATAGGGCAAAGCAAGTAAAGTGAACTTGCAGTGCTCAAGTGTTCGTCTTTCAGCTGCCTCTAACGAAGCAGGTTCTTTCTGAGGTGTGTGCAGCTTCCATTATTCACTTTAAGGCATTTTAATCCAATCATTTTATATTTGTCATTTGTTTGCTTTTAGATTTCGTCTTCCCAAAATGTTGTAATGCTTCAGAATTTGCTTCACAGTAATAGTCTGAATTTTCCCTTCCCTACAGATGCACCAGTAATGACCTGAAATGCATCGTTCGCCTAATTAAGCACGATTTGAAGATGAACGCTGGTGCTAAACACGTGTAAGTATCTTTGGATTATTTAGTTATTCTCTTTGAACATGACAGAGGCAGGTTTATTTTACGCAAAGATGGAAAGTCTGAATAGTGAGGCAGTTGCTTTAAAGCTGCATTAAATCTGCATTCTCTCAAATGACCAGAAGAGGGCAGCTCCTGCGGATTCAAAAAGTCACCGTGAAGAAGGTTATGGAAAAACTACCCTGTGACTCCCATCATCTGTGTTTCTGTTCTTAATCTCTCATTTCAATTCATTTTGATCACAGTAACATCATTTTTGTAAATTATGGTCCTCATTAGAGAGAAAAAAAGGACAAAAAAAAGTGCACACCAGGATTTTTGTGGCTGTTGGGCAACGTTATGGTGACTATGACCATCTTGTCTGTGTAATTTATGATCTTTACCAACCTTTCATTCTTTGTGGTCATAAATTATACATTTCAGGTAAAGATATGTGGGCTTCTGTAAAAATAAACGTAATAAATCAAGGCTACAGATGCACTGAAAAAGCATGATCCTTGATCCTACAATGAGGGCATCTGTTAGGCACTGTTATGCTGCGTGAAGGCATTTAGAGAGCAGGGGTGCGCAGTAATGACAAACTGGGACTGTTGTGAAGGACTTTACCAGTAATTTATAAAGAGACAAAATTAATATTGAGCAGAATTGAGTTCAGCTTATTGCTCGTCCCTGCCCTAGAGAGAAAGGACACTGCTGTGTTTTCTCAGTCAGATGCAGGCTGACCATCATGTGATCTGTGATTTTTATTTTTTTTAATAGCAGCCTGTCATTGTTGCCTCTTTATGCAGCTTGGATGCAGTGGATCCAAACGCTTACGATGCGTTCAAGGCCTCGCGTAATCTGGGAGACGTGATTGAAAGGGTGTTAAAGAATCAGCAGGAGGCGTCCAATGGTTCAGGACCTAAGAAACTCCTCACTATCGAGGCCTCACTTATGACCCCCGTCCAGCCCATGTTGGTAAGGATTCCTAATAAAAAGTGTCAAATTATACAGTACAGATGCACATACACACGGTGTTTGTCTGCTTTTAATCTCCGAGTCTTCATGTGAATGCAAAGCTGAGGTGTTTGAACCAGTGATGTAAAAAAAAAAAAAAGAAAGAAGAAGAAGCAGTCACATTTAAAAACTATGTGAGCTAATTCAACTTAATTAACTCAATTAGGGAATAGAGGGTGTCTGTCATCTGACCTTTCTGACCTCATAAATCACACGAGACACACATGCACAGTACAAAATTAAAATATTTACATAAGTATTAGGATACTTTTCCCCAAGCAATGGCCTCATTTATTTTGCCGATTTATTACACATGTCAGGGGACGGGACGGATGTTACCTGTGAAAATAAACCAGGATATAAATTAGGGATACAGACACGGTAACAAATTAAAAGGAAAAGTTAACCCCTGACCCCGGTGTGTGTTAGAGGGAAGTGACGCTACAGAGGAATATAAAGTTGCCTGGAGTGATCACCTTTAACCTGTGAGGAAGCAGCTCTAGCCTGGTGGGAGTGGTCTATAAGAGGATTGGGTTAATCAGGGGTTTGATGAAAATGATGTGGATCCTGTGCTGCAGCATTCACAGCCTTCAGATGTCAGCCTAACTGAACACCAGAATATGGTCACTGTGGCGTACTTTGGTCAAAGGCAGTGAAGTCGTCGTAGCGCATTTCGGTACTTCCATGTTTCTCTTTAAAATAGTCTAGACAAACATCTTGTTTGTAGACTGAGCTCTGAGCATGCCTCAAGGCTTCTGCAGCAGTAAATCTTGCAACTCGTACTTTTGTTTGCCGTGGTTCACTGCAAAAACATCACAATGTAGTGATCAGAGGTGTTAAATCTGATGTGTGCTCAAAGGCTTTGTGCAGTTGTGTATGCAAGGAAAAGATGTGGATTACAGAAAATCCTCAGTTTAGAAGGTCAGCTCTTCTGTCTGTCGTCATTCATCCTGAGCAAAAGTACTTTTCTGTGCAGCGGTCGTTAAGATGGCCATACATCAAGTCTAAACAAAGCAGTCCCAACTTCACACATTCACTGAGAGAACGACTGGCTATTCAGCTGAGTTACTCTGTCTGTTTGTAGCCTGCTTAAAGATTTAGCATGAGCCAAAATTTACTTTATGTTAAGTTAAAATGTCTGAATATTTAGAGAATATATTGTTTTTTTTGATGGTTTGTTACTCGACAGCCAGACACGCAGCAGCTGGATCCTACAGATAACTCTGCACTGCAGACACGTAACTGTCCCCAACCCATCCTGAAGTGCAAATATTAATTCAGCATGATTTAAAATGTGTTTTACAGACCATTAAATTGCACATTACACAGCGGCCCTTTAATTACACCAAATAAAAGAAAATGGAAATGCGCTGCAGCTATCCACGCATCGCATTTTAGGTTACAAATGATTAGCACAGGCCGTTCTCTAACGATCCACAGGCGAGCAACTTCGGTGTTATTAGTTTTAACTTTGTTCTCCTAACATGAGCTGGCAGAAGATGAAGCGCTAGATCGTCTTTCAGTGGATACAAAATAGTCATTTAGGTTGGTGTTGTGTAAATGAGCAGTCACTTTGAAGCCATGGCAGTAATAAATAAATTTTGGCCATCTTCTGTCTGTCCACATCATGTAGTTGCCTGCAAAACTTCCTAATGATTAAAGAAATTCAAGGTTTTCTAATGAACCAGGTGTGCTGCTGAGGTTCCCAGCAACAGAAACCCTGAAAGATCCCAGGAGGAGACTTAAATGTCACCGTTTGCCCTCTTTTTGGCGTATACTGACATAAACTTAAGTTTTACAAAATTTCATCACCCTCGTGGTTTCGAACTTGGTGATTCTCACTGCATGTTTTTATTAATGGTCTCATATTGTGAAGGAAATTGTTGAATCTACTGTTAATCCTACATGATTGATGACCTTTTTTTTCTTGTTTGTCTTCTTAAATTGGATCAACCTTAGGAAACCTTTCATGAAAAGTAAGTTCACATAAAGCAATTAGAACTTCAGAAACGATTGTTTCCTTGTTGTGGTTTCAGGCGGAGGCGTGTAAATCCATCGAGTACGCCATGAAGAAATGCCCCAACGGGATGTACTCGGAGATCAAGTACGATGGCGAGCGCGTGCAGGTCCACAAGAACGGAGACAACTTCAGCTACTTCAGTCGCAGCCTCAAACCAGTGCTGCCTCACAAAGTCAGTCTTATCGCGCACATGCACAGACAGCACAGATGCAAATGTGCGGGCTCCCGGTCCGTGAAGCTATTTACTGATTAAAGTAACAATGCTCATCAGGATGCAGTGTGTTCAGGTTTGCCCCGGCAGGATTAGCAGCTTAAAGGTATTTTCCCAGCGTGAAATTCAGACATTTCCCACAGTGATTTTCCAGCATTTGCTTTCTCAGCATGATGCACAGAGACTTAAACGTGCAGGAATAACTAGCTCTGCATCATGTTCATTAGCCTTTTGAAATTGCTTCGGTGCACACAAAACGCACTTCACAACAATCATAAAGAAGAGGATGCCAAGCATGGCACAAGTTGGAAAAAGCCATGTAGCTCTTGTGCGTGATGTATACACACCATATTTTTCCAGGCTTCTCACGTGGAAGTGCAGCCTATGCTTTCTGAGGCATTTTAAAGCCTGGTACTTGTTTTTATGGTGTCTGCGGTCCACTTTTAGTCCTCTAGCCTGAAGGCTTCAGACATTTTGTCTTGAGTGACCGTCTTGTCATTGCAGCCCATCAGCCAAATGGCTAATTATGCAGCCTCAGCCGCTGTAATTAGGCAATTTATGTTAATGCTAGGTTAACATTCTGTGGGGGTGGGAATGGAGTCTAATTACAACAGTCCAAGGTACCTAATGTTCTTTATTCTGATGAATGATAACGGCGGAGAACTGTTTAGATCATCCCCCACAGTGTTATAAAAGAGGATGGTGGGTACAAGCCTGAACCACGAGCATCAAATGTCTCATTTGATCTTTGCTTTTTAAAACATTTTTTGGTTGAAAATAATGCACTTTATTAATGAAACCTATTGTTTTTACAGGTTTGTGCTTGTTGTAATAGTTGTTGTTGTCACATGGTATTTGTTTCCACTCAGTAACTGAGCTCCCTGTGTGTGTCTGTGTTGATGTTTCAGGTGGCCCATTTCAAAGAATACATCCCTCAGGCTTTTCCTGGTGGCCACAGCATGATACTGGATGCTGAAGTCCTCCTAATTGACACAAAGACCAGTAAACCCCTGCCCTTCGGGACCTTGGGTGTACACAAGGTGAGAACACTGCAGCCACTTCATGCTCTTTGTTTTGTCACACAGCTTTTTTTACTTTCTCCCTCTTGGCTTTCTTGTCACCCCACAAACCTTCCTCTCCTCTCCTCTCCCTTCAGAAAGCAGCCTTTCAAGACGCCAAGGTGTGCCTTTTTGTTTTCGACTGCATCTACTTCAATGGTGTGAGTCTCATGGAGAGGTAATGCTCTTTCAATCCATCCTTTGTCTCAGAAATGACTTTGCACTTCACTGTGCAGAGTAACCCCTTATGGGGATGATGCAAGCATGTCGTTTTTAACATTAATAGGCTGCTCTGTCCTTGTGGTTTGCTCACTCGCTGTTATGTGGTTAATTTGTGGTTTTATGGAAAGATTTCACTTTATTTGCAGTCCTTTTTTTCTAACGAAAGAAAATAATAACTTATTATCAGTACTCGAGCTTGTATGTCTGGAACAGGGGGACTTTGAAATGATTAATGAAGGACACTGAGGACCAGTCTTCAGCATCTAGTGACCTTCAAATTCACATCCACTTGAGCAAGAGTAGTTCATGTAACAGGGTGTCTGAGGATCCTTAAAAATCAAAATTAATTTATGCAAACCTCAGAACCAGAATCACATTTATTTCCAAGTGTTAACACAAACAAGTAATGTGACTTTGTGTAACAGTGGTGCAAAAGAATAATATATAACGGCTACTTTCAGCTGCTCCCTTATTGTATCGAAGGTAGCTGTAGAGCAGGTCATGTACTAATCGGAAGGTTGGGGATTGATCCCTGCTTCAGTCTGCATGCCTAAGTATCCTCATACAAGATGCTGAGCCCCAGTTTGCTGTCCAGTATGTTCATCCAAGTATAAATGTGAGTGAATGTTTGATACAAAAGCACAAAATCATGCTTGTTGTGTGCTCAGGTAGTTTGATTTGGTACATACTTTTTTTTATGCCTTCCACAAATGGATTTTTCTTCCTCGCAGGAACGAACCAGAGATCTTCAATTTGTTGGACAAATACTTAAGCTGTTCTTCTATAGAGGCACTATGAGAATATATAAATATAAATTTTCAAATGTATATGGAGTGCAGTGGAGTCCAATGTGCAAATGTTAATGGGTTGAATAAGCATAATGGTGTGTTAATGGAAAACAGTGATTATAAAGTGAATCAGTGGAGGAGGCTTTGTTGAGCAGTTCCGCTGCAGATGGAAAGAAGCTGCTGTTTGAATGCAGTGAAGTATTGATCCCGTTGGGTTTGCAGCTTCCTGCCAGAGGGGAGTGACTCAAAAACTTTATGTCCAGGGTGAAGCCTAAACCATCCACTTCACTGGGCACGGAGCCATGGGCCTCTCTCTTCTATGCAAACTTCAGTTCTTTACTTTAATGATCCGGCTTCAAATGTTCCTTTTTGATAAATCTTAGAGTTATGGCTTGATCAAGTGACCTTGAATCCTTTCTTAGTTATGCTCCTATGGGCACTGACTACTGGGGGACTTCCCAGAATGCACTGAGCACTTCTCCAATACTCCCTCCTGCCAGAGGGGCTTGGCTCCAGAATCTGATTGCCTGGCATCAGAGAGTTCATAAAAAGGGACCTTTTATAAGTCATAACTAGCTTTGACTAATCACCTCTCTCTCATGGTGATATGAGCCCCGTGAGTTTACCCACAATGCACTTTTTTAATGCCCTCCTGTGTATTATCAGACAACAGATTAAACATCCAGACTTCCAGTGCTTATTTCCTCTAACTGTATGTAATATAAGTTAAACGGTGAAGTTTTCCTATTAAAATTGTGACACATGTAATGATATTTATGCTCAGAGTTGCTCATAGAAATAATGGTATAAAGTATAAAGTTGATTTACACAGAGCTTAACTGTGTTTTCCACTCCTGAGAATTTCGTTGTACTTACTAAACTTATGAAGTTACTCTCAAAAAGTGCTGCACCCACCCTTAGATAATTCAAAGGCCTGTAACTGAGTGTTTTCGTAGTATAAAGGTAAAACTTTGAATGCCTTTATTGAATATACTTAAAGTTAAAAGAAGAAGCTTCTTTCAGCCGCTCCCTTATTCACAATGGACCGCCACAGCATAGGTGGGCATATTTTGTTTTGGCCGATTTTATCTGGTATCCTAAAAATGACTGTACCAAAACATTGGCTGATTCTGTGGGGCTCAGCTGGGAGGCACTAATTGATTCTTTGTGGAATAACCCAGCAGCACAGCAGATCAGGTGAGGACTATAAAGAGCAAAAATGTGGAGGTGGGGATGCAGCAGAGGATTTTACCCGTGCGAGTGGAGTTTGAATCTCAGGCAAAGCCAGAAGTTTACAAACTTTTAGAGCACTGCGGAGAGAAAACGGGGATTTTCACGTGTCCGCTGGCTTTCTGTCTTCTTCAGGCCTCTGTGTGAACGCAGGAAGTTCCTGCATGACAACATGGTTGAAGTCCCCAACAGGATCCTGTTCTCAGAGATGAAGCACGTCACCGTAAGTATAACTGTGAATGCGTCTTTGTGCTGTATGCGTACACATGGTAAAAACGTGTGCGTCTGTGTCAGAGAGCAGGGGATCTGGCGGATATGATAACTCGTGTCATCAGGGAGGGACTTGAAGGTCTGGTGCTAAAAGACGTAAAGGTGAGTTGGTTCATTGATGACGGCGTTTGGTAATCAGATTTATTTACTGTTCAATTTCTCAAGTTATGCTTAAACTGTACGTGTAGCTGAAACATTGCGATGATGAGGCTTTATATCTGCGTGTCTCAGAGCACCTATGAGCCGGGGAAGCGCCACTGGCTGAAAGTAAAGAAGGACTATTTGAATGAAGGGGCGATGGCAGACACAGCTGACCTGGTGGTGCTGGGAGCCTTCTACGGGAAAGGCTCAAACGGTCTGTAAAGCCTTAACCATCTGCTTCATTAGGCATGGAGTCTTTTCCCATTCTTGATGCTTTATTTTATTCACCCTGACAATTCTGTTTCGCCATAAAATGAGGTGATTTAAGCCATTTTCACACATTTAATGGATCACTGAACTATAGACATTACCCAACAAAAGCACATGTGGGAATGCAAAGACCTCGTTGCACTATACTATCCAAATAGAGCACTTTTCTCTGGTTTATTTGTGATTTTTACATGTTTTAAAAGTAGAATGGAGGCAGAGCCTAAAGCTGTCAGGGCCTCTCTGTTCTGTGGAAGCTCCAGCTTGTGTTCAGGAGACAGATACCATCTTTACTTTAATGATTCGGCTTCAAATGTTCCTTTTTGATAAAGCTTACAGTTATGGCTGGATCAGGTGACCCTCAACTATTCCTTAGTTATGGACATTTCCCATAATGCACCGAGCACTTCTCCAGTCACCCCTTTTCTCTCCTGGTGTGGTTAAATGCCGCTACTGCACGCCGTTAACTTTTGACTGATTTCTCTTTATTTTGTGGCCTCTTTCTGTGCTCTTTTTGTTTTACGCCCTCTTGTGGTGGATAGCTGTTCCTGCTTCCTGTTAAAGGGGATTTCTTTGTTCCTACTGTCACCAAGTACAGGCTTATACTGGGTTGTCTGGGCTGTAGTCTTTATCTTCCAGTACGATAGCCCACTGAGACAACTGCTGTTGTGAATTGGAACTACAAAAATAGAATTGAACTGAACTGAAATGAAATGTCTGACGCAGTCAGGACATTAAAGGCCTTTAACAAAGTGACATCTGATTGCGATGATCTGTGCAGTGCGAGTACAGCGTGTGTGTAATAGTCCAGTTAGTCCACACACGCTTCAGTCAGGCAGCTACTTCTGTTGAACAATTTTTTTCCAGCAGTGAGAATTAGTCTGATGCGAAATCTCTCCTGCTGTGTGCTGCAGGGGAAAAAGGACAGCTTCAGATGATTTCCTGACTGTATTCTCCAGACATTTGTTGGAGTTCATGTATGAAAACAGCTTTGAACGGTTAAGACAGTTTTACTTTTGCCCCCAACTTTTAATGTTGCTGTGAAAGACGGGGTCAAGCCTTCTGCAGGTGTGACACTTCACGTTCAGCCACAAAGCGAAAATATAAATACACGATTCTTGCATGTATTATGTTTAGATAGGATGATGAAATTAACAAGACAGCTCCGTTACTCTGGGAAAACATAACCAAATTGGAGGATTTCATATGAAAAATGTGCAGATACAGGCTGTTACATAAGGAGAAGATGCCAATGGGTGAAATAGAGAAGCAGGTGAGATTTGAAGCAGGGGCCATTGAGGAGGCTGGCTAATGAGTGTGCAACAACATAACAAACACAACGAGAAAGGTACAAGTTTTCAAAGCGTGCTTAATGAAACAACTCGTGTAGTTGAAAACGAGCTAATAGAGCAGAAACAATAAATCAGATGAAACGCTTGTCGTAGGAGGCTGTAGGAAGTGAGTGGGAAGGAGAAAAAAAGATAATTTGAAGAGGCAGGTTTTGAGAAGTCGGTGCTGGTGGAGAGACTATTCTGTGGGAAGCAGTTCTCCTAATGCTTGCGCGTCTTCTTCTACCCACCAGGGGGCATCATGTCCAGTTTTCTAATGGGCTGTTACGACCCAGACTCCAAGAAATGGTGCACAGTCACCAAGTGCTCCGGAGGCTACGACGACGCCATGTTGGCCAGGCTCCAGAAAGAGCTGGATGTGATCAAAATCAGCAAGGTCAGAGAGAATCCACTTAGAGGTTAACCAGGAATATTGAGCTGATATCATAAAATTGAAAATTAATCTTTTGTGTGTCTGTGTGTGTTTGTGTCTTAATGTAGGAGCCAAGCAAAATCCCTAGCTGGTTGAAAATCATCAAGAACTATTATCCAGATTTCATTATCCGCGATCCTGAGGTGAGATGTCACTACTCAGCACATTTGGATTTCCCAGCGGGCCTGTTCACGCAGAGCACAGTTGTATATCTGGATACTGCACACCCTTTGAATGAAATTAGAAGTTGAAAGCGTCTCTTGCGTGTATCCACAGGAATTCCTTTAAATGAATTACCCCCAAAAAGCGCCGAGATAATGACGGGCTCTGAGATGGGAGGTGTTTTTAATGCATGCAGTGACCCTTTGTGGCTTTTATATATGATTATGTGTTTCCTGTGCTACAGAAAGCACCTGTGTGGGAGATCACAGGCGCAGAGTTTTCCAAATCGGAAATGCACACCGCTGATGGCATCTCCATCCGCTTCCCCCGCATGACGAGAATCCGCGATGACAAGGACTGGAAGAGCGCCACCAACTTGCACCAGCTTAAAGTAGGATATCAGCGTTTTTGATTTGTAGTGCTTGAGAAAGAATTAGCCGCTGCTCAGTGATGAAGTTTTATTGAGACGGCACAAAAGACGTTTTAGAAATCAGCCATTCATTTAAAACTGAGGCGTATCTTCTAGGGATGCTTGTTGCTAATTGCTTTCTATTGTAAAATATGATGGGGGGAAAAATGGGAGGATGTGTAGTAATACAGGTGACGGGAGGAATGAAATAATTAATCCCACTGTTAAACAAAGCACCCAGGGGGACAGCATGAAGTATGATTGAAACGGCGGGGAGGAGGAGCAAATTTGCAGTCTTCCCGCGAGTATTGACGGATGAGTTGAAATATTGGCCGAGGCAGTAAAACATGCCTGGGCTTAATTATTTGAATCCAGCACGGGTCTTCAATCTCCACTGACACAGAACATTACATCTCTTGGCCGAAGCCCATGTTGTCATTTCATCACTCTGCACAGGAGCTGTACCGCATATCGAAGGAGAACTGCGACTTCAAAGTGACAGCAGGTCCGTCTACATCCAACGATGACAAGGGCTCATCGGGGGGGGACAGCGGAGGAAGCTCGCCATCGTCCTCCTCCAACAAAGGCGCTCCGCCCAAGAAGACGAGTAAGTTCACAAGTCACGTACATAAAGGGAAATTACATTGTTGTTGTGTGTCCGGATTTACCTAAGATTAGGTTTGAGTTACACTTAATACTTTAAAAAGTGAAGATTCAAATGACCAGTAAATTATCAGTAAATTCATAACCTTGTATTTGAGGCAGAATAGGTATTGTTAAAATGTTTGAGGCCTCGTTGTTTCATTCTAACTGGGTTAAAGTTTAGCATCTTTGCACACACAAGAAGTAAAACCCTCCAGTTATGATCGAGGTGATGCTTTGACTGTGTCTGCAACACAATGTGCAGAATATGCACTGAGCTTGTTGACAGTCTGGCCTGAGACTGAGGAGGGACCCTGAGATTTCAAATGAATCGCTTTCAACTTGCAGGCGTCTCTGCCCTTCCTGGAAACACCCACATAAAGAAAAAGTAGTCTCCATCATGCAGATGTTTATTTAAGAAAATTCCATAAATGCATATGTGAGATTTTAAGATTTATCTGCAGGTTAGTGGACATTTATTAGAGCATTGCTTTTTTTTTTCCCCCCTGAAGATAAAAATTTTTTTTTTAAACCAGTAAATTGTTTTCCACCAGTGATAATAGAATTTTACACATAAACCAAACACTCCTGCCTAGATTCCGCATGTTTGCTCGCATTGTGCAAAACTTTATTTATGCAACTAAACACAACATTTCAGAAACTTCTAATACAGGAAATATTTCTTATCGTAACTAATCAACTGCAGTAATTTAATAGTGATATCTAAGAGTAAAGTAACTCTGTTCACCTTTAATGTCTCTACTTAAAGAAGCAGGCTCACACAGATATGTTCATATGCATGTCCTTTATTCTAGACATTGGTTCATAATTCAAGTTAATATAATGCAGAAATAAATTTGTGGACACTTTAAAATGACCCCAGTGCTGCAAATGCTGCTTTGTTATAAGTGTAATCAATAACATGCACTCTGCAGGCAGCAGCACTCCACCCAAAGCCAAGGCGGTGAAATCCCAGCCTCGCACTCCCAGCTCAGACGCACCCAGTGCTAAGAAGGTAATGTTCTTTTCTTTAATGTAGCACATGAGATGTAAAGTTTCATCGTTACAGAACACGAGAATTGCACAAACCCAAAGCTGCAGTGATGACCTAACGTTAGACTGTTTCTTATCAGGTGAAGAAGAGCGAGAGTGTCCACAGCAACGGACAAACTAAAGCAAAAGCTACCTCACAAAAACTGGAGCCAAGGAATGACAAGGTTAGTAACACAACGTGTGTTTAAATGTGTTCTGTGGACGCAGTTAATGCGAAGAAACAGATGCTATTTAGGATTATTAAACTAAATCCATCTTTAAGTTTGTTTTAAGGTCTGACAATCATAAAACAAACTGTTTGTTAAAAGCTGTAATCCTGTTCTAAAATTAGTGCATCAGTGCGTTGTTTATGGCTTTGACAGGTTATAGATTACAACACTCAGAGGCCAGCTGACTAATAAAATCTTGACAGTTTTAAAACTTTTTTCTCGTTTTCAGTACAGTGTTAAAGATACAAATATTCCAAATTTGGCGGTTTAGTGGCTCTTTATATTTGCAACTCTGGTAACTGCTGTCAAAGGACAGAAACAGGAACAGGCAGGGGAACGTTTAACCAGCTTATGGACTGTTTTTGAAGCTAGAATTATGCCAATAATTCCCAATTTCTGAAGAAAAGTTTACATGTACAATGTTGCGTATATGAGGTCATTAACTGAACCAGGTCAACAGGCCGGTTGGTGCTGAGTATTGGCCGAGCAGCCGCTGTGATTGTTAGATCCAACTTGAATGTTTATTCACATCCTGGTCTGACCTTTACAGAGTTTGTCTTCACTCTGTGAAATGTGGCCACCTCACTAACACCATTCCACTATCTCAAGCAATCACAAGCGGAAACTGGCTGTTTGTTCCTTAATTACTGCCACAATAGTTTATATTTCAACAAGGCCTGGGTGTGCATCCTTTAATGCAGGTGTCCCCTGTGAGACTGCAACAAATTCAGAGTTTGTAAATTCTTCTTTGGACGTGAAGAGATTCTGTTAAGGTTTACTGACTGTTAGAGTTGGACTGATATTAATCACAGACTGAGCTCTACAAAGCCTTTTTATGTCTTTATATCAAATAGTCTTTTTCTTCATTTCCATCAGTGACTTGGTAATATTACACAGCCTGAACAGTGCAGAAAAGCAGAGCACTTTGCTCCCTTGAATGTAGGGAAAGTATCGTTGCAGGGTGTCTGTTCTGCTGACCTCACTGTTTTCCCCGTAGACGCTGCTGGACATCTTCAGCGGCGTGAAGCTTTTCCTGCCCGACTCGGTGCAGGACTTTAACAAGCTGAGGCGATACTTCGTGGCGTACGACGGGGACCTCGTGCCAGACTACGACGCAGCCTCCGCCACGCACACGCTGGCCGAACCCGAAGAACAGAGCCAGGCTCAGAAAGTGACCCCCAGCTGGATCTGGGAATGTATCCGCAAGAGGCGTGTCGTAGCTCCCTGTTAATAAAAGAGGAGGAAACTACATTTTATACACTGCTTTCAGCCAGCCATGAACTGCTGGTTTTCTGGTGATGTTATTTGTTCAGAGGGCAGCTCTAAGTTTGGGGATGTTACCGTGACTGTCTATGTTTTCAAATGCCACTGCTCTCAGGTCATTTTAATTTATTCTTTTTGAACCTTTCTACTCATGCAGACCAACAGATGCAACACACATTTAGGTTGGAGGTGGAGTGCTAGATTAGTCTATGATTATATGAGGTGTAGAATATTTTGTAACAATGTAGAATATAGCCTCTAAATCATGAGTAACGTACAGTTTGACACTGATTTTACACACAAGTCTAGGATATGAACCAGTTTTGTTTTTTTTAAATAAGCATCAAGCAATACTTTCGACTGCCTGAAGAACACTCTGATATTAAAGCTCAGCTCCTGCACTGAAAACAAACAAATCTGTCTGCCATTAGGAATAAACAAACCTGACAAAGACAATAAAAATGTCCCTGTAACATCATTCCAGCGTGTCTCATTGTCATCGGTTTGTGTTTGGAGCATCGCACTGATTTGCATTGGAGCCACTTGCAATAAAAGCTGTGGTGTCACAGAGATGAATGGCATAAATGCTGGCCTCCGAAGCTACAAGTTATGAACATGCGCGAATCTCCGGAGAGCTCTGCTTGTGCCAGATTTCCCCAAAACCATATGGAGAGAATTTGTTTGAAAAAGGCGTTGCTCCAGCTAAACCAAATACATTTCCCTTTCTCGATCGTGAGACTCCTTGTATGATCCAGTGAAATGCTGAGAGGTTTTTCCCCTTCAGCCTGCTGCATCAGAATGGCTTTCAGGGATAATTCAGATTTGCCTTTTTCATCCGTGGGATACTTCAGGCTATGAGGTGGCTTTAATTAAATGTTCGAACGTATTCACACTCTGAGAAGAATTCGCATGAGCCTACCCAGCTATGCCTGAAAGAAACACGAGAAAAGCCTTTATATTCCTCCCGATTTTCCAACAGGTAAGAATAAAATCTCAGGCCAGTATGCCAAAGCTGCAGCTGACGACTGACAGAGCATGACGCCGGCAGTATCTAAATAGGTCAATTTTGAAGCTAATAACTGTGGCGACCGTTTTTAATTGGAATAAAGTTTAGTTATCGCTTGAATGCTAGCAGAGTACTTCAAAAAGACATTTTCTCCCAAATTCGACCCAGAAACATGCGTGTACCTTTGGTGTGACATTTATGCAGAGGATTACAGCTGCTCTCATCAGGAATCCGTCTCACCCAGTTTCCTCTTTCCCGAGGACCCTTTTTCTGAGCGACTCCACCACTGCAAGTCAAATTCCTCTTTGATGTGACAAGGCTAAGAAACAGAGCACATGACAGTTGATTTAGACCTAGTTAAACACAACGCTGCCACAATATTAAATATTCACTGGCTCGGTTCATTCTGAAGCTGCTTTGTTTCCGCTGACGACCGTCTTTTATAACTCCGGAGCAGAAAATGCAGAGTGAATTTCCTCCCATTATTTTTAACAAAATGTTGGTTTAAAAGATCTTTGATGTCGAAGGAATATCAGTGATTAAACCCGAGAGGATACGTTCAAACTAAAATGCTATCAAATCAAATTCAGTTGTGAAATGAAAGTAATCCCCACTGAGACATGTTTTAGTGCAGTTTCAGAAATAATCTGCATTTACTAACAAACACAGGCCTGTGTCTGAAAATTACAGTGAAAATCCCACTGAAGAAGACCAAAGGTGAACTCATATGGTGCTGGGAAAAAAAAAGGGATGAACTAAGTGAACATCCAAAAAGTCTGAAAAATGAGTTGACCTGTCATGGCTTCCATAACAGACCAACTCATTTCTCATGGTGGATGAACTTAAGAAATCGTTGTTTAAATTACTTAAAACAAGAATTGGGCACAAGACTGAATTTATTTTGAATCTTTGCTTGGTGGTGGTAGCATCATGCCCTGTTTTGCTGCCAGTGCTACTCGCACATTGCAGTGGATGGAATAATGAAGGAAAACTACCTCCAAATTCCTCAACAGCACCTCAGATCAGCAGCTAGACAGATGAAACTTTATGTAGAATTGGGATCAACACAATGACCCCAAACAAACATCAAAACTGGTTTTGGAATGGATAAAGCAACATTACGTTACTGGAATAGCCTTCCCAGTTTAAATACAGGAGGAGTGTGGACGCTAAGCATAAATGTAAGTGATCCTTATCCCCACTAATAGGTTTCTCCTTTGCCCATGCTCCTCTTCTCCAGAAATTTTACTCAAATCTGATCTGGTAGTGTTTTTAATCTCGAAGACAAACAAACGGAAAACGTTCCTCGCCTTGGCTCGTGTCTCGGCGGAGCAATAAAACATGTCTTTATCAAACCAGACCGGTTCTTAAAAGGGCAAACACGACTTCAAAGTCTCCATTTTAACAAGATGTTTTGACAACAACGAAACCCCTCGACAGAATCAACACTGAGCTGGTTGCTCTGCAAGTTAATGCTGCTCCTTGTACCTGTCTGGAAGACTTGATCAGCTTTGCAGAGCGCAGACTGGGCTGGCTGACAGCCGCCGCCTTCTCTACTCGCTCCAGCAGGATCCTGGTTCTCGGGATGTGACTCCACGAAACGCCGAGGCCGGGCTGCACTTCCCCGCTGCCACTTCTCGTTACATGGTTTGTTACCTGTGGGCCCAGACACCATCGTGTTAGTTTCTTCCCTCACTCTCAGGAGATTATCGCACCATGCTTTGGTACAGCTTCCCACGCGTAACACAAGCTTTAGAAGACAGAAGATATAAGTGGGACAAGCAGATCGTCCCACTTTCATTGAAATGGGACATCATCAGGCTACCAAATTATCTTTATCTCCCTTCAAATAACTTCATCACTTGAGGTGAAGATCAGTTTTCTTTGGTGCATGCTTTTTAAACGTGCATACTCCTTTTTTAAAACATAATTAAAACCTGCAGTTCACTAAACAGGGTTGATATGACTTTAAAACTATTTTTTTGAATTATTATAATCCTATTTATTAACCCAAAAAAGCAGTAAAATGTTTAGTTTTCTCAGAAAGAATAACAAGAAGTAGTTTGTGTAGACTTTAGATTGACACTGGAAGTGCATCTTGCATTTAGAGCAGCACACATCAAAGACTGAGTCATCCGTACCAAAGCAGCAACGTTGAAGTCCTTTGCCATCGTCTTAAGAGCTCCTGCCACTTGTATCATCAAGGACATGCCTGGAGGCAAAGGAAGTTGTAGAGAGGTTAGTTCATGTACAGAATACTCTCAGGCTCTGTCGCAGGAACTTTCAAAGCAACTCAACAGTAGCAGCTCAAGCTAAATTTATTACAGCGAAATTTGCATTGGAGTTGACTTAAAAAAGCTGCGGTTGCTTGTTGAAGCTTGTAGCGATGCCCATGACGGATCTGTCACTTTAGGTACAGACATTTGTATTTCACCAGTGCATCGAACTGTAAAAGCTCGTTGTTCCAAAGTTTCCTAATAAAAATCTGCAAAAGTAGCAAGCTAACCTTTACATTTGGTGCTAAATTACACATATTAGCAGGCTAACCGATGGCTGGTGTCTTGGTATAGCACTACCAAATAAGCTTGGTCGCAGCTGACAAAATAAAACGACAAAAGCATGTGGTGGTGGTAATCATGTGGCAGAAAGTAACTACAGATGGTCCACTCATTTTCAGTCATTTTAAGGCTGAAATGGTGCATGAAATATAAGGAACACTCTTTAATTGTAGCGAGTATAAAAGTCACACGGATCATATCAACATGCGTTGAGATTTTCACCTTCCTCTATTTTTTAAAAAATGCGTTTTTAATGTTTTTCAGTTGCTTCCTGACTGTTTTTGCTTTTAAATTTGTCATCTTGTGATCTGTTGCATGTTTAATATCTTACCAAATTCATAACCATAACAATCCAAACATTACTCTGTGCTTTGAATATTCCTCAATTAAAACCTTAAAAATGTTACCTTTTTCTTCAGAAGTAATATGAACTCTACTGTGTGCCAAACCCAAATTACTGGATACAAATTTTCCACTGTGCTGTTCATTACTGTAATTAGTTGAGCACAGCAGCAGTGTGCCCGAGCTCACAAATTACATTTGGAATTATAATCCAGCAGTAAAGGGCTGACTCCTTTTCTAAGGCGTGCATAGGAAACATTCAATGAATTCCACAGACGGTGGGCTGTAAAAACCAAAGACGTCCTTATTTACTGAAAGGAGTGCATTTGCTTCATCTATAAAGAGGACCTATTATGCTTTTCTTATTTTCTGCTGGATGCTCATATTTGATGATGTGGTTCTGTTGGCTTCATCGGGTGAGGGCCTCCAGCTCACACTGGAACGGTTCGCAGCCGAGTGTGAAGCAGCGGGAATGAGGATCAGCACCTCCAAATCTGAGGCCATGGTTCTCAGCCAGAAAAGGGTGGAGTGCCCACTCCGAGTCGGGGATGAGTTCCTGCCCCAAGTGGAGGAGTTCAAGTATCTCAGGGTCTTGTTCGCGAGTGATGGGAGAAGGGAGCCGGAGATCGACAGACGGATTGGGGCTGCAGCTGCAGTAATGCGGACGCTGCACCGGTCCGTCGTGGTGAAGAGGGAGCTGAGTGTAAAAGCGAAGCTCTCAATTTACCGGTCGATCTACGTCCCTACCCTCACCTATGGCCACGAGCTGTGGGTAGTGACCGAAAGAACAAGATCGTGGATACAAGCGGCGGAAATGAGCTTCCTCCGAAGGGTGGCTGGCCTCTCCCTTAGAGATAGGGTGAGAGGTTCGGCCATCCGGGAGGGGCTCAGAGTAGAGCAGCTGCTGCTCCACATCGAAAGGAGCCAGCTGAGGTGGTTTGGGCATCTGACAAGGATGCCTCCTGGGGTTGGTGTTCCGGGCATGTCCCACCGGGAGGAGGCCCCGGGGCAGACCCAGGACACGCTGGAGAGATTATATCTCTTGGCTGGCCTGGGAACGCCTTGGTATTCCCCCGGATAAGCTGGAGGAGGTGGCTAGGGTGAGGGAGGTCTGGGCCTCTTTGCTTAGGCTGCTGCCCCCGCGACCCGGCCTCGGATAAAGCGGATGAAGATGGATGGATGGATGCTCATATTTAAACACAGCATTTAAATGATCTCGAGCTTCAACCTGCTCCAAAGACTGTTTCAAGCAGTTTTCTACTCTCAGCTCTGGATGACGTGAGCGAGTGTGGATAACTTTAATATGGCTTCCTCACCAACACTCCTCTCTCACTGTTGTTTGCCTGAAGCACATGTGTTAAACTCAAGGTCTGTGGGCCAAATCCAGTCCTTTGCTAATTTTAATGTGGCCTTAATGTGTAGTTTCTTGAAAACTGCAGGCTGTAGGTTTATTAACATTCCCAAAAGTAAGCTAAACAAACACCTCCTACTGTCAGTGTTTGTTCTTGATTGAACAGAATCATGGTTATGCAACTTTTTCATTTTTATTTTTTATATGCATGCAAACTTAAAATCAATGATTTGTTTACTCTTTTAATCCATTAACACATCGCTGAACTACATAAACTATAAGGATAAATGAACAATACCACCTACACCTCATACCTACAGGAAGTGTAGATGTAAGAAATTTCACGCAGTGGCATCTTATTACCATACCGTGCTCAAATTCAGTGAGCTCTTTCGAACAGCCCATCCTTTCACAAATATGTGTAAAGACAGACTGCATGGCTAAGTGCTTGATTTAATACACCTATGACTGAAAACACCTGAATTCAGAGGTAAGAGATTTAGCCAAATACTTCTGTACACGTAGTACCTCCAGCTAAAACTGAGTTTGACAACCCTGGTTTAAAGGAAGGTGGCCTTAAAGGAAGAGGAGCTAGATACATGTAAACGTACCACATTTTTCAGACTACCGGTATAAGGCACACTTAAAATCCTTTAATTTTCTCAAAAATCGACAGTGCCTTATAATCCGGTGCATCTTATGTATGAATTCTGGTTGTACTTACTGACTTTGAACCGATTTTATGTGGTACACGGCTCAAAAATCTGTCAAAAAATGTTTTAGTACGACTTTGGTAAGCTACGAAGCCGCACCGCTTGATGGATTGTCGGAGCATTACTGCTACTGTAGTCAGGAGCCTCGCAGAGTAATCTGGGTCCTAAACGCCATCTCTTCAGGTTCCAAAGTCAAACGAATACTGCAGCATCACTGAGAGTTAAAAACTGTCTAAATTCTTTCATCTTTAATAAAATGCTCCTTTACCAGGTTTTAACAATTAAGTTTAACATCCAGGCATCCATGAAAACAGAATTTAT